AAACCCTTTAATTGCTTAAACTGATTTCAAAAAAATCTAACCAAATAGATTAACTTCATCAACAAAATATACGAGAAACCTACCCACAAAGTATGCCAACCGGGTGTTTATCCACCTCCATTATATCAGTATAGTAACTTTCTATCTGTTTTGGCACCTGACAATTGTTGTTGCCGATTCAGAAAAATACTAGCATTCACAATTCAGTTACACTTAGACCAGAAATGAATATTAACGCAGTCATGCTTCAACAAATCTCTTAAAATTTGAAACAGATTTCACATATTTTATGTGATCCCAGTGCAAGGGAGGGGTCTTTGAAGTGTGTACCTACTTGGGGCAGAAGTGCCGATGTGTGGGGATTTTAGAATCTAAGCTTGTTAATTGATGTTCTAAATTACAAAATAACAAGCATCAAAACTAAAGAACAACGGCGAAAAATTGTCAAAACCAAGTGAAAATTGAAGATGAACAACAGAATGCCAAACTATAAAGTCAATATAATCAAGGGTAGAAGAAAGAAGAGGATACTTGATTTATAAAGAGCAGAACCTAGAGAAAAAGAAAATGATAGAATGAAAGAATAATATAAGGCAGGCTAGGCAGCAAATAGATATCATTGGGAAATAAAAACCAAGGAATGTTATCTGTAACATTTAATCAGATAAAAATAAGTAGCAGTCAAATTTCATTGAAAAACACCAACCAAACTCTTTCATATAAAGTGAATTTTAAAGACAGTGAAAGAGGGATAACAAGAGGAAAAGAAGCTCTCGGAGGAACATGGAAAAGTTATATAACAATTGAATGTCAATCATTCTTCAAAATCCCCACGGGTAGATACTTAACAGACCCAAACCTTGGAAGAGATGCAATATGTGTAACTTTCTACCAAACACAACTATGGCTCAAGAATTTCACAATATCTTGGTTAGGTTCATTTTCAGCCTCTAAGAATTCCACCGAGATCTCAAGGTCGAACTTCAGCAGACTTTCCGACCAACCAACTCAAATCTGCCCTTCATATTTTTTCTCCACTGTATGAGTCTCCTGAATGACACAGTTGGACATGCCAAAAACAATGACCATGATTCTCCTAATGATTATTATGTGACACAACACTATGGACAGATTACTTTGTAACAAAAGAAATGTGAAGTAAATTAAATAAATAAAACTCAAGAAAGCATTGAAGATAATGACTTTCACAGAAGAGGATTTGCGAAGATAAAATAAACACAAAAATAATGCATACTAATAAGTACAGGCTGTTGTGAGACTATGAACACAGAATACACCAAACTCAGTACTGACCCCAGAAAAAATGAAGTCTTTTCATAGTAACCTTGTGTGATTCACAACAAGGAATAATAAAGTGAAAATAGCAAGCAGAAATTCACAGAAACAGAAAACAGTAGCACAATGACGGTATATAGATACATATTTTTTACCAGAGGAGTTTCACCCTGCCCTTCATCAGCCAAAACATGCCCAGCTATGAGTAAGAGAGAATAAAGTTCTTCCAAAGTTTCAGTTGGATCTCTTATGCTTCTGCCCTACAGTAGCATAATATAAGAAAGAGATTGTTGATAAAATAAATCATTGTCCAATTATACAGAGAAAAAAATAAGATAGCAAATTACAGCTCAATAGTGACATCCTCAAGCAAATTACTACTGGTCTTGCATTTGCTATCCCTATCATGCTATTACTAGAAGCTTCTTGAGAAACCTTCAAATTAATCCACAATTTCAGGATATGAATTTCAATATGAAACTATTTGACGGAGAGTAGATTTATCATAACATCTACGCCATTCAATCTGATGGTTAGGAAAATAAAATTAGCAGACCGAATTCCGGAATTTCGTTATCAATTGCAAATTCCAGAAAAGTTGTGGGTATGGTAAGAAGATAAAGAAAAATACTATAAGTATTAGGTAAAAGAAAATATCAAACTTTAGCACAACTGCACAGATAAAAAACGAATAATATATGTATAGTAATTAGGTAAAGTATAATCACGAACAATTCTTGATTAGATAAATAATTTTTGCCTATTATTACTTCTATTGTATGTTCATGTTTACCTAACTATAGTAGTTATGCATTTTTGTTCTAGAAAAAATTCCATACGAGAGAAAAGAAAAAAAGTAAACGAAAAAACAGAGAAAAATGTACCCAGGATCAGGAAATAAATCGGTTGTTCAGGAAACAACTCTTATAGCTTCCAGGATGCAATATTTGCCAACATCAACTATAGCAACTATGGGGATGCATAGATATAATTTTTTTTGTTTTGTTTGGATTTTTTGGTTTGGTTTGGTTAATTTTGAAAAAAGTGGTATGGTAAGTTGTTAGTGAGTATATTAAAATAATATTTAAAATAAAATAATTAAAGTTTACTTGATGTAAAAGTAGGAGAGAGATGATTTGAAGTGATGGTTAGTTAAAATTATGTGAGTGGATGAATAGTGAATTTAAGTTGATGTGGTGTGTAACAATGATTGATTGATATTATTTAATTATATTGATAATATTGATGATAGTGGGGTTGAGTTAAAGTTGAGTTAAAAAAAGTGGTTGAGTTAAAAATGTTTGGATTTTTTTGAGACTTTTTATATCCAAGCATCCTCTAATGAATTACTTCAACTTTCTTCAAAATGGAGAAAATCCTCATTGAGTACGCTAACTCTAAGATTTCTAAGAACGACTTCTTAATGAATACAATGCAGAAAAATGAATTATAAAAATTTAGAAGAAATACGAATAAACAATGGTAACAGTTGCAGCATGAGAAATTTAAACATCTCCATACGGCAGATCATTGGGTAAATATAAAGCAAGTAGGTACCTGATTAACCCTTATCACAAGTTCTGAGAAGCGTTCTGTGAGAAGAGGGATTGCGTGCCCAATAGCTGCTCGAGCAATAAGAGCATAAGAGCTCAATCTCTCATCCATAGCTATGAAGACAACACAATTTGAACAAAAGAAAAATGACATCCAGTAACTAAAAATATCCTATGATTGATATTCACTATTGAACTGAACCTTAAAATAAATTCACAGAACCAGCAGTTTACCAGACACTGAGGCCTGAAGGGCATCACACTCGTCCTCATCACTAAAGGCAGATGCAGAAGAAGCTGTTCAGAGAACAACTGTACAGTGTCAGCACAATAAATAGAGGAAACCAATATATCTGAACAAATTTGGAGTCAGAGCACAGCAATACCCTTTAATTCAGAGTCTACTATCTGGCTAAAGAGATTGCCTGCAGCACTAATGGCTTCAGGTGGAAGTAAATTATCAGGTCCATTACCATCCAATTGCTGCATTTGACACAAAAGCACATAAAAGGTTTCAATTCAACAAACAACCTTTTAAGAATTTCTTCAACCCAACAATAATGATTGATTCCACATTCCATGCCTCAATAAAAGAACTCCCCTGGACAACCTTAGGTAACAATTCATAAAAAATATCATAAGCCAGCTAGCAGCTTAAAGATTATTAGATCATGTGGACGACATCTAAAGTTTGAATTATTATCAGTTTTTCATCACCTTCACCTGCCAAAGTAACCAAACATCCTTTGCATTAACTGACACCAAGAAGCATTAGCAACAAAAGACAGCCAATAAACAGTCCTCAAACTCAACCTCGGAACTTTAAAATGTTACTCAAGACACCAAACAAACTCATCCAAACCGTTCCTTGATATCAGTAGATGGACTTTGATTTATCAGAGTAGGCCTTCAAGCAGAGGACATTTAAGAAAAACCAGTTTACCTCATAAAAAATTTGCATCAGAGCAGGCATCGAAGGATACTATCCCCATGTAAGTATCGTGTCTAGACTCAGCCTCCAAAAGACACGGGCACATACTCAAAACTTAATGCTCCTCTCACATAGTCCATAAAATAGTTGGTCTCATATTTGGTTATTAGCAACTAAATAACAGCGATAGTATATAACAGTTCCACATCCTTCACAACCTTAGAAAGAGAACTTTTAAATATTACATATACAGGCACAAGGACCTTGTCCGAATTTTCATAAAATATAAGGAAGCATAGTTGATGATGTTGCACTAAGGCCTAAGCCCTATCCTTAAAGTGATAAGTGATAGTTAAGCATGTATAATTACAGCGCACAAGAGGGACATGAATATCGGCAGCATATACCACTAACAGGGATGTCCAAGTATCTAGTAAAATATCACGTGCCACCCAGCTCCATGTCTCTTCTTCTGTGCGATTCTCCATAAGGTCTTTAAAAACTTCACACATCAGGGCAGACAAAAGAGTAAGCAAACCATACGGCCTGGGCATAAGATCGAACACATTTCAGTTAGAAAAAAAAAATTAAAATAAACAGAAAAATGAGAAGCGTGAGAAAAATAACAATCCATCTGCCTACAACTGTTAATAACATTTCATATTTCAGATGTCCAACATAGCAATCTCATTCAAAATTTATTTATATGAGTAATATACTTTATTACAGCACAACACCATTGACTTCTAAGTTCTACCAGACAAATTAAGGCTCTTCAGGTTCCGCTTGTCATTTTTAGTTTCTTCTAGTTCATTTCATTTTTGCATTTGTTTTCACATAAAAACAGATATGGATCTGACCATAGCGAAGTAGAACAGTTGATTTATGAGATTGAAATATCTTAATGAACAAAATCATAAGGATTAGGTACCATTATTTAATTTGTGATCCAAATTAAAGTTAGTTACCATTATTTAGTGAAATAGTAAATAATTGAAGAATGGCATTAGTTGCCATCTGTCAAAACATGGAGGGTTGAAAATATTTAATTATTAAGGAATCTAATTATAAGAAAAGCAACGATCATTTAATGACTAAGTGACATGAAGTATTTCAAGTGGAATTAAAAACGAATAAATAATGTCCCACTTCAGATGAACAGGTGTTGAGGTCTGAAACTGATTTGATAGTTGATACAATATGCAAAGGGCTGAACATGAAGGCTATATGTATGGAAAAGAAAGACGGTGGAATATTTTTTGCAAAAAAGAGTGGAAAAGCAAAAAAGGTGGCATACATGAAATCAGATGAGGCATAAAGTGGGAAACAGTATAACATAGCATCTTTTTTTGTATATAATATAAGGCAATACCAAAGGGGCTTTCATTCAATAATGGATAGAAAAAAAGAATAACTGAGAAAATTAAATTACTAATGAAACAGTTAAGTTATGCAGCAACAAGTATAGGACTCACCTCAGATTCTTCAATAGCTCATCAAACACAAATGGGGTAGTCACAGTGGCAACAGACATAAGTGCGCGACAGCCATCCAGCATTTCACTGATAATATAATAGACTAGTATGTCAACTAATATCACATTCAACAAGAAAAACATAGACACTAGAATCCATACCTTTCGCTTTTTCCTGCGTTTATTGCTTTTGCAACAGCATCAGGAGGTTCCAACCACTGAACAATTACGGCTAGCAGTTGCAGCAGGTGCTGTCTTTGCATGTGCCCGCCGTCTAAATTGCAAAGCAACCAGTGACAAAACACACTAGGCATAAGTAATTGCTCTTGGAGCATAGAGTAGAAGATGATAACAAGGCATTGTGAAAAGGCAAGGAATGAAAAAACAAAAAGGAGGGAGAAAAAAATGATGTAGGACAAGGAAAAATTTAAATAGATATTTCCTCATGCTAGGCCCACTCATATCCATTCTCTGCAATAACCAAACATGTGATACTAATAGGCCATAGCTTAAGCTTGGAAACAGATATGCATCCCACCAACATATTAGGATAACTGCTTAGGTAGAATAGAACCCATAAAAGTGGTGACAGGAGAAAACAGCTCCCATTGCCACCCAGAAAGTAAGTGCATGGTCTTCTGGAACAGAAAATGGCCAGCAAAATGAAAAAACACATAAAGGTCGATAATACTTCTACTTAAAGAATACATGCAGAAAGCTGAAACATTCAAGATATAATTCGGTTTTCCTTTGCAAAATTGGAGAACTTGAGTAATCTCATCAACATCCATCCAAAGAATATATATCTTCACCAAGAAAATAGAACCAAACAACTTGTGGAAACAACCATTGGCTGTAGAAACGTTTCCTCCTCGAGATACTAGTGATAAAAGAATTGTTGTTACCACTTGAGTAAAAATGTTTCAGTACAATTCGCACAAATCAAATCCCATCTTACAAACCTTTCGACACATTCACATCTAATGTCCATAATGGAAAGCAGCCTCTATAAGAAGCTAGTCTACAGATGCAATAGCATGATGGAAACAAGTCAAATAAGAAGCAATAGCATACAGATGCAAGCTGCCAATTTTAAAGGATGATCTTCTGAGTGGAATATACAAAATATTAACCATTCTGAAAGAGGTACAGGAAAGAAGTATACCAGATGGAAAGACGGGTCCTGCTAAGGAGCAAAACTGTACAATAAGTTTCCGAGCAGAAACTGCAAGAGGGCAGTCAAGCCAGTAACCTTCAAAGGAAAACTTTTGCCTAAGTGTAGTGTAAAAGTTTAAAAGCCATCCAACATGACCACTGGAAACCAACACATCGCGCCATGCAGGACCAGGCTACAACATCACATATGAAGGAATAAGTACAAAGCCCCTATTCATAGAAGTACCATATACCGAAAAGGGAGGAAGCAAATAATTTATTGGAAATGTTAAATGTTTTGAACTTGAATGCGAGATGTCAGGCAATAAAGTAAAATTCTAAAAACAACAATAACAATTATTAGTTAAACGCCTATTCTAAATGAATCAAATAAAAAGTGGATGAACAAATGCTAACCATAAATTGCCTTTCAGTTTTATAGACTAACTCATGCCCAACAGCAGCTGCCACACAGATTAATCAATCTGGTTTAATGTGCTACCTCTACTCACCCGGAGGCAGGTAGAACCCAACTTGGTCCACCTCAAGGAGATCATAGGTTAATGCTTAAAATGTTACACCTACTTAACCCCTTGAACGAATCAAGATAATTGTAAAACATTTTTGTTTTAACACAAGGATCTCATCAATTGGCTGATTTTTTTTAGAAGAATAAAATGATTAACATACCATAACATAAAGATCTCATCAACTGGCTGATCTTTTTTAGAAGAATAAAATGATTGACATACCATACGTGAAAATTTGTTTAGTAAAACAATAAAAACAAATGTAGATATTTGGTTAAGAGAAAACTACCAGTTCAGCCTCGAGACACAAGCAATCTTCCAAATGCAGCTATAGATATAGTATTCATAAATGCTTTTACATAAATTTTGAAATCAGATAAGTATGTTAACTACTTTTCACCTCAAGCTTATCATTATTGCACCCAGGAATGCTTGGCAATCAATATGTCAATCACAACTGAACAAAACACCAAAAATACCTTAGCCAACTTGAGATCAACTACACATTTTCCACATCTCAGTATATGCCAGATGCATATGATAGATCTTCGTTAGCTAATACTAACCTGCACCAAGACACACTCAGACCTTCTAAGAGAGTTATTTTCCTGCTTCATTCCATCAGAAAATACATCAATCCCTCGTTTTGAATTGTCAACAGCATTCTTCGCTCGGAAGTCCCAGTTCAGGATTTGAAGCATGAAACGCAATGCTGCTGAACAGACCTTAACTTCTGGAATTTCGGAATCAGCTCCAACAATTCTGTCTGACGCATTAAAAGCAGCATATTGCACCCAACAATAGAACGCCTGCGGAAGCATTTGAAGAGTGAGAGAAGGAAATAACAATCATGGTCAAAAACAAAAGCGGTAAAAGGTTTTAACATAGGCAATACCATGTGGCAATACGATACGACAAGCAAATTAACACAAAATAGTGGGAAAGAAAGAGTTCCAGAATGTGAGAAACCTTCATATAGTCATGCTCTAGGGATATTCGGCACTGCTCGTGGAATTCTCTAGGAAGACCCATTGCAGTGGATGTAGATGGAGAAAATTCAGATACCTGTTGGAAAATATCGTATAAAGAATGAATGAGAAAGTCAATACTTTAAAATCTAAGGACAAATAAAGGTCAAGCTTTTCTAGCAATCATAGATGAGAAACTACCAGAGATTCCAGAAAATTGATGCCGATAAATTGCATGTCCAGACCACGGTTCCCAATAGCAGCTTCTTTCACCTGGAGCATGAATCAAAAAGGCTTGAAAGACTGAATAGCAAAATAACTAAATATGTTAAGCACTTGCTGAAATTGGGAACAGTATATTCGATAACAAGTCTTATCATCCCCATATGCATCATTTGAGTACATTAATATGAACTCTTTGTTTTGGAGTGTATGGCTTGTTGTTTTGAATTTGAAGTGTATGGCTTGGACAAACCATACACCCCTAACTCAAGAAGTTGAAGCTACAAACTTGGACAAGGGCTCAACAGGTAGAGGGGCAACTACAAAATCTAATAATTATGATTTAGGTGGTAGGTCTAATACAGTAGCTTTATGCCTGAAGCAATGTGTATGCCAACCTTTATATCAATGAGTTCTGGTATGAACTGTCCATTTATGCTCTTCAGCAAAATTTTGATAATAAAACACCACTTATGTTCACCCTCTCGACAACCAACCAGAGAGTTAAATAAGGCAATCAATAAAAGCTCAACAACATTGTTAAAAATATATCAGCAGTAAAGGCCAATACACCTACATAGGTTTTCTAACAAGAAAAACACACAAATCTGGATAAGAATATTTTGTTCTTTGATTTACACGATGGCAGAAAACAATGTAAGATTATAGCCATCATTACCTCAACGAAAAATGCCTCCTTCTCTGCAGCAGTAAAATCTAGCCTACACGAAAACATTAAAGGTAAGCAGTTAACAGATCTTCCCGCTGCATTAAGTTAAATGAGTTTCTACTGATTATTTCGTAGCATGCATTAAGTTAGATGAGTTGTTTGAGCAATCAATGGATTCCTAAAAATACATAAAGTCACTATCTATTCCACTGACTGCAAAATCTCAGCTAAATAAACATTCAACAATCAAGATCCCCCCTATATATAATTCCCGAACATGCTGAGCCTAAGTGGTAGGCTCGCACACTTCAGGATCCTATGTGGTAATTTACTTTCAATCTAAAAGTATCTAGTCCTGGAATAACCATAAATATACTACTGGATATTTATGATCCTTTAAATGAGCATTAATTATGTTTTAATATCATTTCCTATTCTACAAGTGGTTTTAAAGCATAAATATTTTTCCCGAATCTCTCTCTTTTTCGCAGTCTTTCTTTTAAAATTATAAAAAAAATTACTAACTAAATTAAAAATATATTTTATAAGTAAATAATTATTGTTCTAAATTTGTTGTATATAATATATCAAATTAATCATCTCTTAATGACCTTCGATTTGAGATCTATCTGGTACGTACAAAATAAATAAATAACAATAACTACCTTTATAATAAAATTAAATTATCTATCAAGATTATTTGGAAAAAAATTAAAATTAGTTATTAATTTCAGTACGAAGTAGTTATATGATATAAGTTAAAAAAAATTATAATATAAGATAGGTAACTCGTATAAGTGGTTGTTGTTATTTTAAATATATATAGTAATATAGTTTTTTCAAAAAGTATTTAAAATTCAAAACAATTACTTTACATTAACTTTCTAGTTATAATTAAAAAGAAATTTAACAAGCACTCGTATAATAATACACAGGTATTGTACTCGCGCAAAGAGGATAAGCAACAAGAAAGATCATAAGGCGAGAAAAGAATTCGAAAAAAAGGCAAGAGATTTTATTCATATTAATGTATATATGGAATAAATTCGTTAAAGTATATCGTATAGATAAGTGTATCAATTGGTGAAAATCATAATGGTATGTTGACTTTAGTCGAATTACCTATTGGCAAGAACTCAACTAGGTCTAAGTGGATATTCACAGTTAAAGTAAATCCTTTAAGACTGTTTGGTTGCTAAAGGGTATGACCAAATCTCTGTCACTAGAATTTCTCTCCCGTCACGAAACTTAATTCTGTCCAGCTACTTATATCCCTGGCAGCCACTAGCTAGACATTAAAAATGCTTTTCGCTAGACACTAAAAATACTTTACTTCACATCTTCCTTCAAGAGTTAGTATATATGGAACAACCACCTGGGTTTGTTGCTTGGGGAGCATGGAAAGGTATGCCGACTACTTAAATCCTGTCCTCAACTTGGTTTGATAAATTCAGTAAAACCATTTTGGAATATGGTTCAACAAGATGCAAATTTGATCATTCTATATTCTATAGGCGCGCTACTTGTGGAATCATTTTTACTCATTATGTATGTTGATGATATCGTTATAACAGGAAATGATAGTGACGGGATTTCAGGAAGTCACTTCTTCACGCTTTTTTTCAAACAAAAGACATGGATCCTTGAAATATTTTTTAAGAGTGGAGATAATGAGAAGCAAGAAAGGAATGTGCTTGACCTTCTTAAAGAAAATCGGGAAAACATGGGCTAAGTCGTGCACTCCGATGAGTCCTAAATTGCAACTAGGAAAAGATGATGGTAAGTCATTCCATGATTCTAAGCGGTACCAAGACTTGTGGAAAGTTGAATTATCTCACAGTAACACGTCCTGACATAACATTTTCAGTTGTAGCGAGTTCATTTATGTCTGCTCCGAGGGATTGTCATTAGGCTCTTCTTGATCAAATCTTTTGTTATCTAAAGGGAGTTCTAGGTCGCAGATTGTTTTATGGGCAACATGGTCATCCCAAGGTAGAATTCTCAACTAGTTAATTGAAGGGTATAGAGTGTTGCTGACTATGTCGATTGAAAGATGATAGATGACCAACTTCAAGGTACTGTGTATTTGTGAGAGGTAATCAGTAATCTAGTCACATGGGCAACCAAGAAACAAAATGTTGTTTCTCGTTCAGTTGTTGAGGGCCATGACCGATTCAGTTTGTGAGATAGTATGGATATATCAGCTACTAAAAGAGCTAGGTTTACAGCTCAATCCTCCAGCGAGGCTTTTTAGTGACAACCAAGCAGCATTACATAATGAATTGAATCCAATATTTCATGAATGAACCAAACATATCAAGATTATCACTTTGTTCGTGCAAAGTAGAAGAAGGGTTCATTTTTATTGGGTAAGTTAAATCAGAAGATCAGCTCGGCGACGTGTTCACTAAAGTACTGAACAGGGTACGGATGAGCAACAGTTGTAACAAGTTGGGGGATTATTGATATATATGCTACAGCTTGAGGGGGAGAATTAATGTAGATATGGTATAGGTTAATAGATATATAGTACAGATTACAGTATCAATTAGTTGATTATCGCAATCCCTTTGATTGGGCTCGTTTATTTATTTTCCACCCTAGTATATAATATCATTGTATATTGTAGTCTTGAGTAAGAAGAAGAGAATCAGTTCATTCCTCTTTACAATTCACTTCAACTTCGAATACGGAAAGTAAATAATTAATAATTCTCTCCCTCCTCCACCCCTCAGAACCAAAAATAAATAAATAAATAAATAAAAGAGGTATTGCTTCCTACAACCTTCACAATTATGTGGGAGGAATCTCCCAACCAAGAACAGGGGTCGAACTCACATACTCTTGTGTTATGATTTGAAGAAAATAATCATCAAAACCTAGAAGTTAGGGTTTATGCCTCATCTCATTATGCCTCAAAGAGTCTCCAAATCCCCTCACCTTGAGAGGCACCTAGGCCTCGATACACCTTTTGAATCACCGAGTACCACGAATATCATAAGTGAAGAAATATCACCCCCTTTGAGTATGTCAATATGTGCCTTTTTATTTGGTTAGTATAATCCTCTCTTCCCTCCACTCAAACCTCTTAAAAACATATGTTAGTAGACTAGTGGAATCCTCAAAAAAGAGGATACAAACATCTTGACACCAAAACACTCCGGGAATATAGTAAATTGAATATTTTTTATCACCATTTAAATGACTAGATCAGGCATGATGAAGTCTCAAACAATGTCTCAGAGGTCCAAATGCCTATATCACCTTTACATTACTTCTCTAGTATTCGCACTTGGATACATCACAACTCTCACTAGTCTGGTCCTTAGGGAGTTATTGAAATTATTAAAAAGTGTGTTTATAAATATGACAGAGTGCATTGGAATGCCTCAACCACATTTAGCATTTTTCATGCCATGTTGGTGGAAATGGAGACAAAATTATAGATTAACTGAAACTTACCAGCCCCTTTTCAGCAATTGAGCAGCCACTGAAGCAACTTTCACCAAGACATAACCCTCGTGCGAATTAGCATTTTTCATGATAAAGCTCAAACAGAAACTGCATAAAAAGTCAGACCCAGTTATTGTATCCGATCAATATAAAACAAAATAATGGACATTTCACAAAGCCGTGGAGAAATTAATTTGATTGACCAACAATATGCTATTTCCTTTTCTATAAGAAACAAACATTTCCTTTTGTAGTAATGAAAGGAAAATAAGTGATAAGATATCCAAAGAAGAATTACTGAATGGTTTACTAATACAATAGAGCCAATCTCCAGTCACAAAGCAAATCAGAAACAAACAAGCGCTTGAACTCTTTTAAGTCAACAGTAAACAAATATCACCAGATTAAATTATGTAGAATCAAAGCAACAGCTCTAATCAAACACATTGTGAAGTTACCTTATCAATCCTCTCCTATCAGGAGCCTCCAGGAATGCCCATTCCCGTATAGCTGCATCTCTAATTGCTCCAGCGGCCTGAAATCTTGCATTTGCCATCTGAGAATTTTCTGAAAAGTAAAGTTATTTAAGTAAGACGACCTGTAGCTTTTTATCTTTGAGTTTCAGAATCTTACTTGACTGAAGAACAATTTAGAATCACTTTCACATGAGAGAAAAACACCACATAAATAAAGTCTGTGAGGCAACATGCTTCAGCATCTGTGAATATAGCTATGCATTATTTGTGTAATGTGAAGTCATTTTGATGGATGGTAAGAAGCGACTAAAACCAATTCAAGTCCAAAACAAGCAATAGTGTTTGCATATATTCCCAAAACCACCTTGTATAGAAAAAGGGACATTTACAATCCACAACGTTGAAAGACTCAACAAAAACATGTGTATGTATCCAAAATAATTATACAGCTATAAGACAACCTATGGCAGCTAAAATTCACCAGATAAATGTCATGAGAAGAAAAGGCAAGAACTGAAACTCCAGTAGACACTAATATTTATTGAAGGTACTCCTATTCAACAACAAGACTGCCGATTCTAGATAATTCTATGCGATGCGTAAAAACTTGAAAAATGGCATCTCCTAGCAGAGGCTTTTCACACTTGCATTGTTAACAATAAAAATAATTTCTTGTCTGATGATTTTAAGAGAGACACCACTAGCGATGTCGTCCAGAGGAGACAGTCATATATTTGACATCTGGATTGGTATGTCCTGCGCAGGTATTATTAGAGACTCAAGAGCACAATTTAATAAGCAATAATTAGGTTCCAAGATCATAGACGAGCTTAGCCTGCTCTCTGTGAATCTCCCCTTGTGCTTTGACCTCCACTACTAATTTTGGATGGTTTTGGGGGGTTTAAAGAAAATTATGGATGGTTGAACCAGTTTCACCTGAAATATGACTTTCATCATCTAACTAGGGAAGTTTAAGCAAGATATTCAGCCACTACATTTGTGTGTATGTGTGTGTGGAGAGAGAGCGCATATTCAAAACCATAAATTGCTACCTAAAGTATTTATCTAAACGAGTTAAGTATATGCTCACTCGAGTAGTTGATCACAGCACATCCAAATATTAGGTTATCCTGCAGAGCTTGTTGCATGAGGAAATTTAAAGAGCACTATGCATAACCATCAACATACCTAGAATGAATTGGCATGCCTGGTATGGGCGAGGAGACTGGCTTAATGATAACAAGGTTGCTTCCGCAGCAGCAGGATTGATATACATCTGCTCAGTTTCCGTAGGTTCATGTACCATAATGAAGAAAAAAAAGATAAATAAAACAAAAAATGATGAAAACACCACATTGTACAAAGGTGATATAAAGGGGGGAAAAGGGGGGGGAAACTCTTAACCTTCCTAATGTTTGTTATTCATTTACCAGTGACGAATGATTCTGGGATCCACTACCCCAGTCTATCTAATACCAATTATTCCAAAAGGAAACATTACATTTGATAATTTACACATCAAATTTCAATATAAAAATATTATATTAATCTCAAAGATGCGACAATAGGAATTTTCCATTGCACCTCCGTACTCCAATTCACACAAGATGCTGAGTTCGGCAAACGCCATAGGAAATGCGCCAGTTTATGGGTTATGTTTACATTGATTTGGTCCTCATAGTTCGAGCATTCAAAAATATAACAAGCAGCCCAAAGTGAGTTAACACAGAATCTCCCTGAATAATTTCACTCAAGCATCGGAAGTTCAAATAGTTTGGTTTTGGATTTCTTGGTCAACTTATTCAATCACTCAAGAACCAAAGGAAGTTTCACAAACTAATGACAAATAGCACAATAAAAACATAAGTGTATTCAAAATGCATACAAATTGCTAAAAAAACCTGAATAGAACCGCATGCAAGTTCGATAGCTTGCATTGTTGCTTGAAACCGAGCCAGATCAGCTGTGCTAGAGTCTTGGGGTGTAGCCATCACTCGGCAATCGGCGATAGTGAGTGCTGGAGAGAGAGAGAGAGAGTGAGAAAGGAATCTAATTTTCGACCATTTTCGACATCCACAATCTAGCTATCAACCATTTCTTTTTAATACAACATTATCAAACCATTCAATCGGTCATGCTACATGCTTAATCATATAAGAAAGTCTAGTCTATCTTTCATTTTCCTTTTCTCATAACCGGTTGAAATCATGGAGGCATGTTATGTAATTCTTTCAAATTAAATTATCCTGAATAATCACATATCCTCCAATTTTCAGCAAAAAAAATAAAAAGACTCCCTAAAACAAAGTTTATAAGTCATGAATCATCAAAAATTGTCAAACTTGGCACAAAGACATTATGTTGAAGCTGAACAGATACTAAAGGACCTTCTCGGTGAAGCATTATTACAAAAATAAATATTTCATAAGGAAATTCAGATTTGTGAATTCTGAGGAATTGAGGATTGGGTTTAGGAAATTAACGAAGTAGCTAGTAGAAACTAGCCGCTTTGAAGATTAAACTGCGAGGCCGAGTTCGTGGAGCCGCCTATAGGCTGCTGATCGGAGTGAACCGAGGACGGATAGGTAGAAAGGCGCAAAGTTCCTGCTGATTTCTCTTCCTCGTGCTTCTTTTTTTTTTTTTTTTTANGTCTTCTATTTTTCACTTTGGAAAGCGACGAGATGGGGTTTGGAGGTTGGACTCGACGACGGTTAATCAGAGAAAAGATGAGGAGAAGGTAGTGTTAAATCCGTGGTGTACTCTACTTTATATGATAGAGTGTGTTTGTATACTCATAAATCTGCTTGAAACGAATTTTTTTAGTTAATTAGAGTTAATTTAAAAAAATATATATAATTTGTTGTTAGTCAATTTACATTTTATATTAAAATAATATTTAAAGTAAAATAATTAAAGTTGATTTGATTGATAAAAAATTATGAGAGATATGATATAAAGTGATGGTTAGTTAAAATTATGTTAGATAATGCATAGTAATTAAAATTGATGTGATGTATAAGAATAATTAATTGATATTATTTAATTAAATTAATAATATTGAGGATAAAATTGAGTTAAAAGTTAGTTAGATTTTAAGTATGAATTGAGTATGGATTGAGTTTTTTTTTCATATACAAACATATTAGGAAACAAAAGATGTAAACTAAGAATTTATGTTAATAAACAAAAATTGCATAAAATATCATACTACTTGCTTTAAAACAAAAGAAATAAATTTTTCAACGTAGGCATGCTAGTGCCCACGTCCAGCTGCTCAACCTGAAAATGATAGTTGTGGGGAGTGAGCAAAACAACTAGTCCACCTTTAGCCTATACAATGCAGATATTCGATATAATTAACGGATACCTCGATTGCAACATGTAACACAAATAATAGCTCATCGCCGTCTTATAGACGGAAGCATAACTAATTCATCGTCGTCTTATAGGCGGAAACATAACAGCCCATCATTGTCTTACAGGCGGAAGCATGCTAATTCATCGCAGCTCATCACCGTCTTATAGGCCGAAGCATGCTAATTCATCGTCGTCTTATAGGCGGAAACATTTATGCAACATACAACACATCAATAATAATCACATAAATTATACGGAATACAACAAGGCATAGACTTCCCCACATGATACTTGGAACTAAAGAAGTTGGTGCTTCTCTGGAAACTTGAGGGGTCGATTCCTCCGAATCTGCATTATTGAAACACAACTCGAATGAATACTTTAATTCGACTTAGTAAACCAAATTTACCAATTTGAAGAATTTTCTAGCTTAAGGTTCATGACTTAAAAAATTTTCTTAGATATTGGAACTCTCGACTGAGATAATTTATAAATCGAAGAGTATTTTTTTTAATCTACATTTTTTAGGCTCGGCTTAAAAAACATTTAAAGGCTCGAAAATATTTTTCTAAAATTCTAAAAATGGATCAGGAATTTTAAAAACATGGTTCGGGACATTTTAAAACGGCTCGAGCTCGGTTCGGGTGCGGCTGGCTGCTGATGGGAGGTCTGGCCGCGACTGGTGTTCGCAAAATATTTTTACTACCCGCAAGTGTACGGTATAGCTATTGTGAGCGGCAAACAAGGTCGTATTTCACATAGATTATTATTAAAATAATTAAGTATCAAAATGTAGACGATTAAATATTATTTAGACTAGTGCAAATTAAATGGAGATTTAATTCTAAACTAATGAATGATTGTAAAATAAATTCTAACACTAATGAAGGCTTGTTCTAAGATAAAGCAAGAATGAGAAAATAGATTATAAGCTATGTTTTCCTCAGAATTATTCTAGCAAAGATTTCTTATTAATTCAAACCTTATTTAATTCTACCAATCGTAGAGATAATCAATAAATTAATTTAACCTTTCTATCGACAAGTTAAATCGTAAATATTAATTGTTATCTATTTCCTCTCGGTCTCAACATGAACAACTAACTCCCATAAGTTCCTAAGATTCTAGTTCCCTCGCAAAATTTTATCAACCTCGCGGTCTGTTTAGTCTCCTACATTATGAATTTCTCAATTCTAGCAATCAACTATCTCCTCTTGGTCTCAAGTCCATTCACAAATATGCATAAATATGGTCCCTATATTCACAAAATTAATATAAGCACAAGAAATTGATAAACGAAAGATTGAACCGGAATGAATAAATAAAATTACTTCATAAAATAATCCGAGTACTCACAAATCCTAGAATCTCAAAAAAGTTTAGCTACTAAACATATTCTCAAAACTCAAAATAAAAAAATCCACGAGTTCAATGAAGAAGAAAAAGATAAAAGAAAGAAGAACTACCGTCGCCGTTAGTTCTCGAATCTTCAATCTTAACTTCTTCGAATTCCTCGTGTGTTTCGTGCTTTTTCTTCGCCTCCAAAGGTGTCAAATGTCCCAAAACCGAGTTCTCCAAGTTCCTTTTATAGTGTAGGCAATTATGAGTCGAAAAAGGGAAGAAATCAAATAAGAATCCTATTTCCCGCTGGTTTATCTGCGCATCACACGAGTAGTGTCACCGGCTCACACGAGTCGTGTGACTTTTCTCCAACTTTCACCAAAGTCTCAGACTCACACGACCGGTCACACGACTCGTGTGAAATCACACGACTGGTGTCACATGCCACACGAGCCGTGTGAAAAAAGCCGTAGCAAAATTCTCTATTTTTCCAGCCACACGACTTGTGTCACTTACTCACACGAGTCGTGTGTCCTCAACTGCACCTCTTTTTTTCCCGTTTTCGTCCTGATTCTATTTTCAACGGTTTTTCGGGTATATTTCCTACAAAACCAACGATAAATGTACCTCTATCATAGATTAATAAATAAAACAAAATGGTGTTCTCACGATAAACACGACTAAGTATCACAATATATCACTTATAATGCATGAAAATGTGATGAATGTCAGCTGGCACCAGTCGCCTGGGCACTGGCGCAACTGGTCTCCCGCGGGCGTTCCCTTGCTCGCTGGGCTCGGCGCTGCTCTGGTGCTGCGGCACGGACTCGGGCGCCGACATGCGAACGGCTACTAAGGCTAGGGGTCGCATGAGGAGTTATGCGCACTGGCTACTAGACTAAGCTCAGGTCTACTGGGATACGGTCTGGGCACTGGACGCTGCGGACAGCCTGGAGACTGCAGGGACACCCGTGCGCATGGGAACAGGCAGTTTCGGTGCCGCACGAGTCGTTTGGCGCGCGGGGTCTCGCGGCATGCAACCCACGCGACCCGCCGTGCATTGCACGCCTACGAGCGCAAGCTACCAGTGCCCGACAGCGACCGTGGGCTGTTGTTGATATGGCCATGGATATTAGTTCTTGAAAATGGACTTAGGTCGAACAAAGGCCGTAGCTTTGTAGTGACTCAAGAGGTGAAGATAGGAGGTGGATTATCCATTCACAGGGTTGGTTGAGCTAGAGCACAAGGTGTGCCGAGGAGCTCGACCTGAGAATGGTTGAGTAGGCATGGAACATGTCTCGATGGGTGACGGTGATGTGCAAGAAAGCATCAGCTCGGCAGATATGTCCTGCTCGGCACCAGAGGCGAGGATGACATCGGAGGAGTACAGACCTTGCTGAGGGTTCGGTCTAAGAGGCGGGGATGTGGGGGAAATCCCATAATCAAGTCATGAGGAGGTTTGCAATGTTAGATTATATGGCAAGGTTATTTATCTCAAATGAAGAGAGGTCGGCCCCAGTCGGCGGCTTGTAAGCTTGATCGCACGAGCACCTCAGCGCACCTCGACACTTCGCGCGTCGGGAAGTTGTGATGCTCTCTCCGCAACTCTGCGCACCTCGGTACTTTGCGCGTTAGGGAGTGGTGACGCTCTCTCCGCACCTCGACACTTCGCGCGTCGGGGAGTTGCGACGCTCTCTCCGCACGTCGGCGCACCTCGGCACTTTGCGCGCCAAAGAGTTGCGGCAATCTCTCAGTACCTCGGCACTTCACGCATTGGGGAGTTGCAACGCTCTCTCTGCACCTCGACGCTTAGCACATTGGGATAGTGTGACGACCACGTCGTTACCGCGGATGGTAATCGAGGTCAATTTTGAGTTTAAGAGGTCGGTCTGGCCTCAAACAAAAGAGGTTCTCACTGTGGCGAGGGAGCTCGGATGAGGTAAGCACGGTTGGGATATGCAATTGATGATCTTTTCAGAAAAGGTGCAAGTACTTATCACACGATGATTAATTTTTCCATTTCTAGGGACGAGCTGTCGGGGTTGATGATACAACCATGGATAGTGGTTCGTGGAAAGCAGACGTAGGCCGGACAAAGGTATTAGCTCGGTGGTCACTCAAGAGGTGAATATGGGGGATGGATTATTCATTGACTGGGTTGGTTGAGCTAGAGCATAAGGTGTGCCGAGGAGCTCGACTTGAGAATGGTTGAGCAGGCGTGAAACATGTCTCGAGGGGCGACGGTGATGTACTGAGGAAGCATCAGCTAGGCAGATATGTCCTGCTCGGCACCAGAGGAGAGGATGACATCGGAGGAGTAGAGCCCCAGATAAGGGTGAAGACGAGGATGTGGGGTAATCCCATAATCGAGTCATGAGGAGGTTTGCAACGATAGATGATATGGCAAAGTTAATTATCTCGAATGAAGAGAGCTCAGCCCCAGACCCCCAGCCGGTGACTTGTAAGCTTCATCGCACGAGCACTTCGGCAGAAGGGTGAGCACCTCGGCAACTCAACGTGAGCACCTCAGCAACAGCGTGAGCACCTCAGCAGCAGGCCCGGGGTTGAAAAATCGGCGGTATGAAGCCGTCTAGTAGGGGGACCTCGGCGGCCTGCCTACAGTTGATAGCAGACTGGGGTAGGCCACCAAGGCAGGTAGGCGGTGGCTCTTCTCCATCTCGTCTTTAATCTTAAGAGCGGCAAGAAGAGAGAATCGTGCAAAGTAGGGAAAGTGAGTCCTTTCTTGCGAGGGAATTCATACCTTCAAGGACTTTAGATATGACAGGATCTGGGTTATTAAGAAGTGGGGTCTGAGGAGAACTCTTGTCTCACCAGGAATCCTAAGATCAGTACGCAATCTAAGCTATTAAAAGGGACACAGGTTCATTCTTTTTACAATCACACATACACGCACGCGAATTTATTTTTTTAACATAATATCGTTGAACATTGGGCTGACTTGAGCGTCGGAGTGTTTTTCGTCAAGACCCCTCCCGGCATTTTGCAGATCATCGGAGACACTCACGGCGATTCAAATCAGTGGAAGGCGATT